CACCCCGAGTCCGGGAGGAGCTGTGAGGGGCCAGGCCGGCTCCCTGGGGGTGTGGCCTCTGGACTGCGCAAGGCCGCCTCCTTGCCAGGACCCCCGGGAGGCCCCGCGTGGCAGCGGGAGCAGAGCGGCATGCTCTCTGTGCCTGCGCCCCTGACACCTTGGGACCCACGGGGCTGACCGGGCCTGGACTCGGAGGACACCGCACAGACTAGCCTGGGGGCCAGGCCTGGCTGGGCCTGTGGCCTAGGACGAGCAGAGGACACTGCGGCTCCCTGAGAGAAGAGTGGCGGGGAGGGGGCCGATGCTTTGCTGAGGAGGATGGGGGCAGCCCCGCTCCCTCTCCCACTCCGCGCAATAAAGATCCTGAGACCCTCCACGGCCCGGCTGGTGTGTCCCTGTGTCTGTGCTGGTGGGAGGTGGCTGGCTCTAACTGGGAGGAGACAGGTGTCTTTGGGCCTCCCAGAGGCGGAGCTGCGCTTGAGCTGATGATTTGTCAGGGAAATCTCAGCCACCTGCTCCCTCATGCAAATGACCCGAGCCCCTGACAGCTGCTCCTTGGGCCTCAACTCTAAGCCCTGTCTTCCCAGTCTGAGCCTGGCCTCGACGGGGGCAGCCTGGCCCCCTGGCCCATGCAAGCCAGGGCAAGGAGGGGGCCGGACCCCACACGGGGTGCTGTGGACGGGGTGTTCTCCGCTCGCCTTCCTTTCTCACCCAAAGCAGGGAGACCACCCCTCCGTCTCTGTCTACCCCACCCCCCGCACCTTGCTCCCCCACCCGGGATCAGACCCGGGGCAGCTGGTCAGGGTTTGTCGAGAAGAAGGATTATCCAGATCAGTCCTTCCTAATCCCAGCTCATGCCTGTCCCCTCCCCTGGTTGCCGTAACCCTCTTGCGCACCACCCTGAGCTAAGGAGCACGGTTCAGGTGCTGACGGTGGGGCCGCCCGTCACCCTATGCCCCGCCTCCCGGCCTGGTTGCTAAGTGGGTCCTGCCCGCCAAGATCATCACGCCGGGGGGCCTGGGCTGGGGGCCTGGGGCTGTGGTTGCCACTGCTCCCTGGCACCCCCAACCAGCCCTTAATCCTCACAGTTTTGCTCTAATCCCAGGGGGCCTGATGCTCTTATCTCTGCCTGCAGAGAGGCTGACCAGGGATGCACCCTCCGGCCCCTCCTCCCTTGCAGGCGTAGGGGGGGCTGCCCCTCTCTGCTGCCATGCACTCCTGCCCGCCCCCTCCAGACCAGGCCCAAGTCTCCCTGGCAGCCGCACGCCTCCCGCCCGCCGTGTCCTCTCGCCCCACTCCTGCCGCTGATTTCATTTGCCTGGCGTCGTGGTTGGCCCTACCCTTCCCGGTCAGGCCCCCAGCCCCCCCGCTGGCCGGGGCCAGGCCAGGCCAGCTCCTCTGGCAGCAGAGCCCGGGCAGGTGACAGGCGGGCGCGGGCGTCGCAGTTGAGGGGCGAAGAGGCGCCCGGGAGCTGGAGCTGGAGCCCCGGCAGAGGTCCAACCAGAGCCCAAGTAAGAGGGAGCTGGCCTGGGCTCTGCCCCTGGGGCTAGGGTTTGCAGGTGGGGCTCAGGCGCGGCTGGGGCTGGGTGCACAGGACTCCAAGCCTGGAGGGCCTGATGGGGGGGTGACACAGGCACCCGGTGCATTTCTCGGGGTAGGCTCCCGCCCTTGGGAGTCTGGAGTGGGCCGCGAGGGAGGGACGGTGACAGGCCTGGTGGGGATCCCCCACCAGCCACTGTGTTTCTGGCAGGAGCTGGAGCGACCCTTCGACCTGTCAGCCATGGGGGAGATGGAACAGTTGCGGCAGGAGGCAGAACAGCTCAAGAAGCAGATTGCAGTAAGCCCAGAACCCTCGTCCGGGGTCCCGGGAAATGGGGCTGGGGGATCAGGGAGTGTGGCCTGGGGCGGGGGTGCTCCTGGGCGACACCTTAGAGACCTCTGACCTGGAGGTGGCCAGAGGCTTTCTGAACCAGAGCTCTGGTTGAGACCCCCGTGGCCCAGCGCCCCGTCCACCTGAGAGGCACGCACCTGCTGCCCCGCCCTGCCCTTGCCCTCCCTGACGGCTGCTCTCCCCACAGGATGCCAGGAAGGCCTGCGCTGACATTACGCTGGCAGAGGTGAGACCCCCGCTCCCTGGGGGCAGGGCACGGGTGGGGGGAGGTGGGAGGTCCCCGGCCTGCGACAGCCTGGCACCCGAGCTTTGGCACAGCACGTCCCTGGAGTGAGGAAGGGCATCGATCAATTCACACAACACACATGGAGCGAGACGGCTCTGAGCCGGGCACATGTTGGATGCCAGATGCAGACCCCACTCCTGCTCTTGTCCATAAGACAAGGGTGAGCGCAGCCTTCTCAGGGCCGCCAGGGCGGAGACAGCGACAGTGCTTTGTACGCCATAACGCCCTCATAGACTCCAGTTGCTGGTTGTCTGTGCTGCATTTCACCCTCTCTGAGATGTGCATTTTTTCACACCTTGACATCTCTGAAATCAAGATGCCTCCAGCAACGGCCAGTGCTCTGCAGTTTCAACTGGCAGCGTCTTTTCTTGCTTAGTGATACGTCAAACAATGGTGTTCCTTAGAGCGGATGGCATCTTAGACTAAGTGTGCTAATAATAAGAAAAAACACCATGAGTCAGACGCTGGGCCAGGTTGCTTAAGTGCCCAATTTCATTTAATTATCATGACAACTTTGTAAGGCCGATGCTATGATAAGCCTCATTTTACACCTTGAGGAAACAGGCTCAGAGAGGGTAAGTAACCTGCCCGAGACAACAAAGCAAATCATAGCAAATCGAGTCTGTTGAATGGATTCCCTGCCTAGGTCTAGAAGCTGGTTAGAGGCCTGAGCCCGCGGGTTTGAGACCCGCCTGGACAACTTGGCGAGACCTCATCTGAACAATAAATCAAAATGAGCCGGGTGTGGTAGCGCACGCCTGTAGTTCCAGCTACTTAGAAGGCTGAGGCGGAAGGATCGCCAGAGCCCAGCAGGTCGAGGCTGGGAGCAGCCACTGCACTCCAGTCTGGGTGACAGAGTGAGACTCCAACTCAAAAAAAAAAGAAAGCTGGTTAGAGTTCAAAGGCCACAGGTTTCAGGTGGTGCAGTTCGGGATCACAGTCATGCCCCTGGTGTCCGGTTAAAGAGCTGACCGGCTGGGCTCGGTGGCTCAGCCTGTCATCCCAGCACTTTGGGAGGCCGAGGCGAGTGGATTGCCTGAGCCCGCGGGTTCGAAATCCACCCAGGCAACTTGGTGAGATCTTGTCTCTACAATAAATCAAAAATGAGCCGGGCGTGGTAGCACGCGCCTGTAGTTCTGGCTACTTGGAAGATTGAGGCGGAAGGATCACCAGAGCCTGGCAGGTCGACACTGGGGTGGCCGTGAGTGTGCCACTGCACTCCAGTCTGGGCGACAAAGTGAAGCTCCAACACACACACACACACACGAGCTGAACATGCCGCAGGGATGGTGAGAGCAGGCTGCTGCGACCCAGAGTCAAGCCCGTCTCCAGAGACCTCACATCAGCAACTTGGAATTGGCCAAGGTGGGAGCAGTCACATCATAGAAACCACACCCAAGAGGTGATTGTCAAACCCTTAGCATCACACCACTGGCCATGCATGTATCTCCCACATGGGTCTAAGCCACTCCAGAGCAGGAGCTTACTTCTCTAAGCCTGGGGGACTCGGCCCAGGGCAGCGACTGTGTCAGACATCTGGGTACGTCCTGCTCACCCTGATGCAAACTGCCCCTCTCTGCAGCTGGTGTCTGGCCTGGAGGTGGCAGGACGCGTGCAGATGCGGACGCGGCGGACGTTGAGGGGGCACCTGGCCAAGATCTATGCCATGCACTGGGCCACTGACTCCAAGTAAGGCTTGAAACGGGCCCTGGGGGAAGAGGGGAAGGAAGGAGTGGCTTGCCTGACGTGAGCGTCATCTCCCTAGGCTGCTGGTAAGTGCCTCCCAAGACGGGAAGCTGATCGTGTGGGACACCTACACCACCAACAAGGTATCAGCCCTGCCTCCCGGCCTCTGCCACCCCAGCCTTCCTCGAGGCACTGGGCCTAGCTTCTCCAACCCCGCTTCTGCCAACCACCCTCCCTGCAGGTGCACGCCATCCCGCTGCGCTCCTCTTGGGTCATGACCTGTGCCTATGCCCCCTCCGGGAACTTCGTGGCATGTGGGGGGCTGGACAACATGTGTTCCATCTACAGCCTCAAATCCCGCGAAGGCAACGTCAAGGTCAGCCGGGAGCTCTCTGCTCACACAGGTGAGAGACCCTCTGCTCCCGTTCCGAGGGTCCAGGAAAGCCGGGCCCCCGTGGGCTGTGGCCGGGTAGCCAGGGCACTGTCCTTTTACCTGCCTCCAGGTTATCTCTCCTGCTGCCGCTTCCTGGATGACAACAACATTGTGACCAGCTCGGGGGACACCACGTGGTGAGGCTGAGTGCCACAGTGGGCGGTGGTCCCTTCTGGGCACGCACTGGCCTTCCTCTGTGACGGCCCTCCTCCCTCCTGGCAGTGCCTTGTGGGACATTGAGACCGGCCAGCAGAAGACTGTGTTTGTGGGACACACGGGCGACTGCATGAGCCTGGCTGTGTCTCCCGACTTCAACCTCTTCATTTCGGGGGCTTGTGACGCCAGCGCCAAGCTCTGGGACGTGCGTGAGGGGACCTGCCGTCAGACCTTCACGGGCCATGAGTCGGACATCAATGCCATCTGTGTGAGTCCACGGGACCCAGCCCCCAGGGCACACACAGTGAACACTCTGCCCCTCCTGTGGCCTCCCCCGCCCTTTCTCTCTCTTCTTGACTTGTCCCTTTGAAGGAATTTCACCTCACAGAAAGCTTTCAACACTGACAGAAAGAACTCCCCTACACCTTCCCCAAGCTCCACAGTTGACATTTTATCACCTTGGCTTTGCCATAGATACACGCACACCTTGAGGAAGGTAGATGTTTTGTTACCATTTTCCTGGGTCTTTTGAGAGTAGGTTGCAAACATCATGCCTCTTTACTCCTTGAGTACTTCCTGACAAATCCCTTCTCCAGCAGACCCACAGCATGATTCTGAAAACCGGGACACTTAACATCGACACAATCATCTAGTCTGCTGTCTAGATTCAAATTTTTGAAATATTATCTCAAAAATGCCCTCCAAGAGCTGTTTTTGTTCTGTCCAGGAGCCAATCCTGCATTTCCTTGCAGTATTTTTTTAGTCTTTGAATCCAACCATCTTTTCCTCCTTTCTTTGTCTTTCATATCATTGACATTAAAAAAAAATTTTTTTTTTTGAGTTGGAGTCTCCCTCTGTCACCAAGGCTGGAGTGCAGTGGCATACTCACAGCCACCCCAGCGTTGACCTGCTGGGCTCCGGCGGTCCTTCTGCCTCAGCCTTCCAAATAGCTGGAACTACAGGCGCGTGCTACCACGCCCGGCTAATTTTTGATTTGTTGTGGAGACGAGTTCTGTCCAAGTGGCCCGGGCTGGTCTTGAACCCACAGGTACAGGTTCAGGCAATCCACTCACCCCGGCTTCCCAGAGTGCTAGGATTACAGGCTGAGCCACCGAGCCTGGCTGTCATTGATGTTTTGAAAAGTACAGGCCAGTTTGCTGGAGTCGCTTAGTTTGAGCTTAGCTGACGTTTCCTCAGGAGGTTCAGGCCACGTGTTTGCGCCTAGGCCCTGTTCCTGCACACTCTGATCTAGCCCACCTACCCCGTAAGTGGGACAACCTGCGACAACTTCCACCCTCTGGCCGGTGACCTCAGGCACGCCTGGTGCTCTGGCTGGCAACACAGAAATGAGGGCGGCCTGCAGCGCTGTAGCAAGGAGTAGGCCAGAGTAGGGATGTCACCAGCAGGCTGTCCACGTCGCCCCAGGCCAGGAAACGAGAGGGGCAGCTTGCCCTGGAGCTGGCAGATGGGGGCCGCGGAGGTGGGAGGCAGCCACGGGCTGTCCCAGGCCCGAGTCCTGACCCCGTTGCCGCCGGTGCCATCAGTTCTTCCCCAATGGCGAGGCCATCTGCACGGGCTCAGACGACGCCTCCTGCCGCCTGTTTGACCTGCGGGCCGACCAGGAGCTGACCGCTTACTCCCATGAGAGCATCATCTGCGGGATCACGTCTGTGGCCTTCTCCCTGAGCGGCCGCCTGCTCTTTGCTGGCTACGACGACTTCAACTGCAATGTCTGGGACTCCATGAAGTGCGAGCGTGTGGGTGAGGACCGCCCCCCCGTGGCTTCCCCAGCCGGGAGCACCCTCCCTTTCCGTCCATACCCCTGCCAGCTCCCGTGGGGACCCCTTCCTGCAGTCTCTTGCCACTGGACCAGTCCACTGTGGAACGCAGGACCGCTTGGGTCTCAACCTGGGACCAACTAGGACAGTTGCCTAGGCAGCCCAATTCATCGCCCAGTGTCGTGGTCGCTTCCTCTCTGACACTTGTGGCCCTTGAAGGTCCAGTCGGTTCTGGAAACAACCACCCCAGGGACAAATGGACTCAGACTGGAATCAGGGAGATCTGACCCAGCCTAGAGGCCCGTCTAGGACCAGCCCAGTCTGCAGTTGGCCCGAGCATGTGGTTTCTTCTGGGAGAGGCCAGGTGCCGCATGCAGGTCACACTGGCCAGGGCAGAAGCAAAATCCCAAACCTGCTGCTTGCTTTCTACGTGCCCTTGTGCAAGTCGCTTCTCTCTGGCCTGTTTCTTCGTCTGGAAACGAGGGTTATGGTAGATAGTCTCTTTCCGTTTCCCAGTACCTGTCAAGGTGCCCCTGGCTTTTCTCACAGCCCAGAGGCGTCCAGTGTTTCCCTGTTTGACCCTGTCCCTCCCCCAAGCTCTTGACAGAAACCGGCCTCCACAGAAACCCCTGCCCTTGGGGTAATCCTCTTTTGGTCTCAGCCTTCTTCAGGGGCTGAGCCCATCCTGTGCCCGATCTAGGATTCACACACGCACACGCACACACGCAGATGCACACGCTCAGGCGCATGCTGCTTTCCAGCTCGGCACGGGAGACAGGATGACGCTTTTCCTCTCCCTCAGGCATCCTCTCTGGCCACGACAACAGGGTCAGCTGCCTGGGGGTCACCACTGATGGGATGGCCGTGGCCACAGGTTCCTGGGACAGCTTCCTAAAGATCTGGAACTGAGGAAGCTGGAGGAAGGGGCGTGGAAGGCCATGAAGACACTCAGCTGCCCCCCCCGTCTCTTTCAGGTTTTCTCTCCAGCCCAGGTGCCATTCCCACTAAGCTTCCTCCTCCTCGGGTGGTGGGGAGTGTGGGGACTGTGCCTTTGGGAGGCAGCATCAGGGACCCGGGGCAAAGAGCTGCCCCGTCTCCTCCCATGGCCGCCCCTCCCCACAGTCCAACAGAGTCCAACTCCTTCCCTTCAAAAGCAAGGACAGCCGGCCCCTCCCCAGCCCTCTGCAGGCCCAGCAGGCTTCCCGTCTGAGGCCCCAGACCCTAGCATTCCTCCCCCAGAGCCACCCCCTTTGTCCAGACCCGGGTGGCATTGGGCGCTCAGCCCTGTATCCGTGGCTCGGGCACCACTAGGGCCCTGGCTCCCTTCTTCATGCTTTTTTCTTTTCCACCTTCTTTTGTTCTCTCCCAAGACACCTGCAATAAAGCGTAGCACCCTGGTACATCTGTGGTGCTTGGTCTCTGTTCCCCGTCTGTTCCAGAAAGACCCAGGTCCCGTTTAAGGGCAACGGCGGTGATGGGTGCTGTGATAAAGGCTTGTGGGCAGAAAGGAGAGGACAGGCAGAAGCCCAAGCCTCATGGGGGGCCGGAGATGAGTCAGGAGAAGGTCGTCAGTAGGTGGCTGGGGGCCCGTGTGCAACAGTTCGCACCAGTTTGCCTGTGGTGCCTGTGTATGTGTTTGTACAGGAGGCTTAGAAAAGTCAGACTATAAAAGGCCTTGAGTGCCAGGTGAGTCTAGACTTTTCCCTAAGGGCAACGGAAAGCAAATGAGGCGTTTCGAGCAGAGTAGTGACATCACTGGTTATGCCTCTCGGAAAGATCACCCCAGCAGAGTACAGGTTGGTGAGACGGAGGTGGGAGAGACTGGCACTAGCAAAACAAGGTAGGAGGCAGATGGCAAGAAATGCAAGAGTGACAGGACAGAGGGCAAGGGAGAGGGATTGGGAAGAGATTAAAGACATGGAATTAGCCAGCTGTGGTGGCTCATGCCTGTAATCCCAGTGCTTTGGGAGGATTGCTTGAGGCCAGCAGTTTGAGACCAGCCTGGGAAACATAGTAGACCCCGACTTTACAAAAAAATTAAAAATTAGCCAGGTGTGGTGGCTCACACTTGTAGTCCCAGTTACTTGGGAGGCTGAGGCAGAAGGATTGCTTGAGATGACAAATTAAAAGCTGCAGCGAGCCATGATCCTACCACTGCAATCCAGCCTTGGTGACAGAAAAAGATCCTGACTATTTAAAAAAAAAAAAAGGAAAAAGGAATCACTAGTATTTAGTGACCAAATGCTAAAATACGGGATATTGAAGGGGAAGGCTTCAAGATAATGGCCGAGGTTTGGGCAGCTGGGTAGATGTCAGTGTTACTCACAAGGCTAGGGAAGAGGGGGTGAGGAATAGCTTTTGGGGGAAGACCCCAAGTCCAGTTTTAGACAGACTGCAGGACAGCTGGATAAAGGTCAGGGTTAGACAGAAAGACCTGGAAGTTACCAGAATAGAGGGAAGTGGTGGCTAAAATCCTAGAAGTAAACACCCAGGGAGAGTAGAAGAAAAGGGCCAAGGGCACAGCCCCGGGACGCTGCTGTTCAAGGGAGCTGTGCGGAAATGGCTGAGTGTCAGTGGGGCAGCGCCCAGGTCAGGCAGCACAAGCTCTCCAGGCGCCTTCTCCACGCAGAAGCCCCCATGCCAGGTGCACACACGCCTTCTAAGGCATCATTTAAAATCACTTCCTTTAATATACAAGAAACACACGAGACACAAAGCAAGCCCGACAGAGCTCTCCATCCAAGCCTGGTAGTCGAGGAGCCGTCAAAGAAAACAGGCCCTCCCTCGTCTCCCAGCAAGGAGGGGTGAGAGGACAGAGAACGTCACCAGGCCCTGGGTAACCCGGCGCTGGGCTTGTGCAGGGCCTAGCTCTCAACCAAGGGAAAGTGCTGGTTCTCCTTGTCGTGGTCCTGGCCTTGTGCCCATGCTCGTCCTCCCGTTTTCGGAAGCTGTCCGGTTCCAAGAGCGGGTCCTTCCTTTGGTTCCCTAACGTTTTCACTGAGCGGGGAAGGCCGCTTACCCTGCAAGAGGCAGTGTGTGCTGGCTGGGGGGTTGCTGTGCAGGAGAGGGCCGATCCGGGTAAGGGTCTCCCACCCTTGGTTAGATATCCTAGTGATCGCTCTCACCCTCTTTCCCTTTACCTGTCGCGGTGTCAGGGTCCCGGGGGAGTTGTCATCCTGCAGGACGGTGAGGGGGGACCTCCCTAGTACCTTGCCCTGTGGCTTCCGTCTGTTACGCGTGGAACCTAGGTGGAAGGCGTCAGAGCCAGGACCAGGGGCTTGCGGCTCACTCCCACGCTCGCCCGCGGAACTTGTCCCAGAACACGACCCTTGGTCCACACCTTGCTCTTGGATTCTGTACCTGAAGATCGGGGCGTCTCAGGGTCTCTCGAGGGCTTGTCCGAGCTCTGGCTGGCCACAGGGGCTTCTGTGGGCTGACTTGCTTCCTGCTTGGAAGACACCTGTTTGGAGGGGAGCTCCGTCTGGTTATAAGGTGGCTTCTGGTCCCCAAGGGATAACTGGGCACCCAGAGGCAAGTCCAGTTCAGAAGACGAAGGTGCCTCCAGGGGCAGAACAGGTTCTGGAGGAAAAACCGATGAGGGGGCTTCAGTCTCCAGTACTTTGCTCAGCTCTTTCCCCAGTGGGCTTAGAGGGTCTAGAGGAAAGAAGTGAAGTCAATGGCGACTCCTGACACAGACTATGCAGCCAAGAGGAAAAGATACAGAAGCTTTAGGACTCATGCCCCGGTGGGTGAGCAAGTTGGAAGTGAGAAACCAAGATGAGAGGGAGCAACACGTTGAGCAAAGAGTGAGATGGGTGCAAAGCAGGAGAATGGAGGCCCCTTTAAGTGGGAGCCCAGAGAATGGCTTCAGCAACCCAAACCAAGGATAGGCAACAGCCCCATCAACATTCTGGGGCCCGACACTGACCTCCGCCGCTGGTCTTCATAGGTGTCCGTGCAATACCAAGGGTAGGCGAGCGAGGATCTGAGTCCTGGACATGGATAGAACCCTCCAGCTGTTCCCCTGCTGGTAGGCTTGGCTGTGGAGAGCTCTCCACCTGTCGGGACCATAGGCTAGAACAAGTCTGGGCCCTAACACTGCTCTCCTCCCCATATTCCAGGCAGCCACTGCCAAGGCCCTCAGACACTCAGCCTACCCGGGCGGACTGAGAATGCAGAAAATAAGGTGTGGGTGGGGATGGGCATGAGGGCCGTCTCAGACTCAGAGGCTCGAGAATTCATAGTCCGGCCGCCTTCCCCAGCCCGGCCCCACTCCCTACCTGGATGGGAGTGCGCAGGATGCCAGCACTAGGCGAGCGGGGGTCCGCCACTCGGGCCAGATGCTTGTTGTGCGGCGGAGGGCGAGCTGGAGTGACTGGGACGCTCTTGGCTGAGCCCATCTCAACCAGGAGTTGCAGGGTGGGGGCAGGGCCCGCCCGAGGCGAGGAGGAGGGATGCCTGTGAGAAGTGACTCAGGTCTCAGCCGTTGCCGCGAGCGTGTCGAACCTCCGACCCCAGAGCCCCTATCTTCCCAGTTTCCAGCTGAGGAACATCCTGGCCGCTGGGCCAGAGGCTTCCGGGAGGTCAATGACTGATGCGGATGGCCAATCGGCTCATTCTGGGCCTGCCAGGCCCTCTAACAGATTCGCTCGTTTATTCAAATCACTTACCGGGCCCCAATTCCACCTTTGGGTGCACAGCAGCTCGAGGGTCAACTCCCGCAGCGACGAGTTTCAAACTTCCCGCCACGCCCCCTGCCCTGACTCTATTGGCTGAGCTTACGTGGGCTACCATAGGCCCGCTGTGTGAGACCCGCCTCCAGCGAAGAAAGCCATTGGTGTGAGAGGACGTCTGTCATGAACACGTGACGGCCAATGGACTGACGCGGGGCTTGCCCGGGGTGACGCCTCCCTGGAAAGGGGATTTTTGTTCAGCATCAGCTTGCGAGCCGCGCATCGGGAGGCTTTGAGGAGTGCCAGTCTTCGCTTTCGAGACCTCCAGTCTCAAGAACAGATGCCTTTATTACAAAATGGAATGAGCGATTACGCTGTTATGCATAAATCCTGCGGGAGTGGTGATGGGGCGTCTGAGGCGAGAGAGTGACCTTATTGGTTGACAGAGTTATCTATCACTCGACACCACGCCCTCATCACCTGCCTCATCGGAGACCCACTTTTTAGATATTAGGAAGGCAGATGCCCCTCTACTTTACGATTGGACAGGTCCCCAGGAAAGTCTCTGGGGTTGAGAGGTCTAAGTAACCGTCAGTTTCTGCTCGTCAATAGAAGGCACGCGAAGGGACAGTCGCGTCCCAGAGTCAGAGAAGCCACCACTCGGGATTCGGCCTCGCAGCTCTGCGTGCGCGCCTGCCCTGAAAGAGTAGGATTGGCTCTCTCAGCCGTCAATTGTAGCAGACGCGCCTCTCATTGGCTGTGGCCCCGAGTGGGGCGGGGGCGGGGCACTCGCGGGCAGGCTACGACCAACGGCCGTTCTCGCGCGGCTTCCCCTGGGCGCATGCGCCTAGCGAGGGCCGCTCATTGGACGCGGAGAGCAGGGGGCGGGGCCCTGGGAGAGGTGGGAGCCGCTGTGTGTGGAGGCGCTGCTGCCGGTGTCATGGCGGAGCTGAGTGAGGAGGCGCTGCTGTCAGTATTACCGACGATCCGGGTCCCTAAGGCTGGAGACCGGGTCCACAAAGACGAGTGCGCCTTCTCCTTCGACACGCCGGTAAGCCCGTCCCCACGTCCGCAGCGAGCACGACTTCCTTCCATCGCCCTGGTCATTCTGCCGGGGCCTGCAAGGCTCGGCCGCCGCCTCCCCGCGAGGCACCATGGGACTTGTAGTCTCCCCGCCGCGCTCCGCCGCCG